GTTCATCAGTTTACGATGATCATATATCCCACAATATAAGTGAGATCCATGTGACATTATCTTCCTCCGACTTGGCTTATTTCCCTTATCAATAATGCTCTCCAGTTCCGTCCATGCTGTTGCAAATGGTAAAAGTTCCCTCTTTTTTATAGCAGCATAGTATTCCATTGTGTAGATGTACCACAGTTTTTTAATCCACTCATCTGCTGATGGGCACTTAGGCTGTTTTCACATCTTTGCTGTTGTAAATTATGCTGCTATGAACATAGGGGTGCATATATCCTTTCTGATCGATGTTTCTAGTTTCTTGGGATATATTCCTAGAAGTGGGATTACTGGGTCAAATGGGAGTTCCATTTTTAGTTTTTTGAGGAAACTCCATACTGTTTTCCACAGTGGCTGCACCAGTCTGCATTCCCACCAGCAGTGCACGAGGGTTCCTTTTTCTCCACATCCTCACAAGCACTTGTCCTTTGTTGATGATAGCCATTCTGATAGGTATGAGATGGTATCTCATTGTCATTTTGATTTGCATCTCTCGAATGATTAGTGACTTTGAGCATGTTTTCATATGTCTCTGGGCCTTCTGTATGTCTTCTTTAGAAAAGTATCTACTTAGGTCCTTTGCCCATTTTTTTATTGGATCGTTTATATTCCTTTTGTTAAGTTGTATGAGTTCTCTGTAAATTTTGGAGATTAAACCCTTAGCTGAAATAGCATTGGCAAATATGTTCTCCCATGCAGTGGGCTTTCTTGTTGTTTTGTTGATGGTTTCTTTCACTGTGCAGAAGCTTTTAATTTTGATATAGTCCCATTTGTTTATTTTCTCCTTAGTTTCCACTGCCCTTAGGAGCTGTGTCGGTAAAGATATTGCTACAACATATGTCTGATATTTTGCTGCCTATGAAGTCCTCTAAGATTTTTATGGTTTCCCGTCTTAAATTTAAGTCCTACAAGTTTTTACCACACTAGATTTATTGAAGAATAAGTATTTCTTTATTCCTTCTTCATTTTTATTTTCTTGTACCTCTTATTAATTAAGTTCCTGCTCTTTTGTTTTTGATAAATAGGCTGCCTCTAAGAATCAGACTTCACTGTTGGGAGAGCCGCCAAAGGAAATCCGGCTGAGTACAAATCCCTACCTAAACCTGGCCAGTGTGCTGCCCAGTGTGTGCTTATCATGTGAGTGAGAACTCAGTATTAATATTTTGGAGCTTCATTGAATACTTTCCATAATGAGTTTTGCTTCAGTTTTTAATTTGATAGAAACAAATCATGCCTATTGACCAATTAAAGCCTAAATTATGACCCTGGTCTTTAAAATGAAAGAATAACTAAAATGAACCCTTAAAATGCATTTTACTTTAAGGAAGGCATCTTTTATAATATTTTATTAAGAATATAATTAATTTATTGAATTATTGAATCATTAAAAATAATTGGGCAGAAGAATTATTTGGCACAATAATTCTTTACAGATAGAATCATATTTCTAAAATAGAGGTTTAAACTTGTAAGTAATTTAATATATCTGGAGTATTAGCCAAATACACCAAAGACATACGAGCTACTCAATGGCAGAAGTGGAATTCTCATGTCCTTTTTTGGAGGGTCTCCTCAGGCCTTCAGTTCGTGTAAATTAACAATCTTAAGAGAAAATCACAACTGTGGCTTACGCTGTACATGTACTAGGATATTCACTAGAACATTGTTGTAAACAGTAAAAACTAGAAAGTGCCTTAAGGTCCGTTGACAGGAATGAAGTTTGTCATAAAGTGGAATACTATGCAACTTTCCTTTTATAATCATGTACTAATGGAAAATGATCTCTAAAACAAATTAAGTGGAAAAAGCAAATGTATGTATAAAATGATTCCATTTGTTTATTTAAAGCTATATATTCTTACATGTACATATTTGAATGTGTAAATGGATAAAGTAAATCTGGGAAAATAAATTTAAAACGGTCACCCCTGGGGAAAAGAATAGGATTGGTTGAGAAGAGATGAGAGATGAATTTTGTTTTTAATGTGCATTATCTTTATTTTATGGAGTATCCTCTTGAATCTAAACATTAATTTCTAATTTTTTAAAACCAAAAAAAAAATTTAATACAATTTTACTACATCTACTATATTTTTAACTGGTCTAAAAATTGATAGTTACAACTGTTACATTAACAAGAAAGGTTAGTTTACATTCTGTATGCCTTGTTTTGGAGATTATACATACATATGCATTTTTAAAAATATGTTTTTATTGATTTCAGAGAGGAAGAGAGGTGGAGAGAGATAGAAACATCAATGATGAGAAATAATCACTGATCGGCTTGATCGGTAGCCTCCTGCAGGCTCCCTACTGGGAATCGAGCCTGCAACCCGGGCATGTGCCCTTGACCGGAATCGAACCTGGGACCCTTCAGTCCGTAGGCCAACGCTCTATCCAATGAGCCAAACTAGCTGGGGCTAGACTTTTATTTTTTAAATGTTTCCACTAAAATTATTTACCCATAGGGCAAACTTTCATTCAGTTCTTTTAAATGACTAAGACAATATCATATACTATATATATTTTTTCTCCTAGGGATAATGTAGATATATATTCTGGCAAGCTAAAATTGGTGTTCTATTTGAAAATATGCTGAATTAATGAGTTTGTACTGTGTTTATAATGAACAATAAAGCAACCTAACTAAAATATATGTATCAATTTTGCCTTTAGCCCCTGCAAGTAAAACCACTCTACAGAAGACTGGAATTACGAGCAACATTCTGGAGGCAATCTCTCAGGAAAATGAATCACAACACACATTGGAAAAGTGCATTGCGTATTCTCAGCCTTTTGGTGATTATGCACAGGTAAATGAGTCTCAGATTTTGATGATAAGTAGAAAAATTGGTTCAACCTCATATTGAGTTCACTGAGTATGAAATTGTGATGCCTATACTATCAGAGGAAATTAAAATTGCACTGATCTACACAGTATATTTTTGCTCACCATTTGGAATTTCAGGACATATTCAAGAAATTGTCAAGTATCATTTTGCACTATTTACCTGGCATTGTTTACACTATTGGTTGGCAAACTACAGAACAACTCCAGCCCACCATTTGTTTGGTAAATAAAGTTTTATTAGAATACGGCTGGGTTCATTCATTTAAACCTTGTCTGCAGTGCTGTTGTGCCACAGCAGAGAGTTGAGTAGTTCTAATAGAGACTTTATGGCTGCAGGGTTAAATATTTACAATGTAGCTCTTTACAGAAAAACTCTGCTGACCTCTGATTAACCCCAGTATAGACCTGGCCAAGAACCCCAAGGAAATGCCTCTGTTGTTCACCACTGCTCATTTATGTAGAAACATGTTAACTACAGGCACTATTCTGCTAACTTTTAAACCAAACAGTCAATGACATGGAAAGTATTATATTCATAAGATGTACCATACCATTACCTACTTATGTCAGTTTTGCTTTGCTTTTTCCCCCCTTCAGTTTATTCTTAGTGGCTTTAACTGAGAATGTGTGTCATGTTAGCAGTATATGATATGTAATCATGAGGGTCTTACGATGAACAATTCTGATTCCTTCTCATTTCCCAGCGTAGTCAGCTTCTTCCCGCCTCTGTCCTCTCTGTGGGAGCAGTGCTTCCACTTTGATTTCCTGGGAGCAACTCTGTGTTTGTCTCCCCTGTCTCTAATGAACTTAGAAAAGGAAACCAGTGGGAATTCATTTAGAACAATTGATGCCTAAATATGCTTTTATGATAGGGTACTAGAAACGCAGGTCAAATAGACTGTAGAAATGGTGCAGCTGGATGTTAGCAAAATATATAATAAGGGTCTCTTGTATACCTGTGGGAAAGGGAGAAATCTAGGTTGGACGATGATGTAATTAGGTGGCAGCGACTTATATTTAAGGGACAGCAGTCATGAAGGGACACAACCTGGAAGGCATTCTGTTACATGTTTCATAAAACTTCATCTTTGTTCCCTTACTAGTTAACATTTTAAATAATGACATATGTAAGGACATTGGTTGTATGCTGGTTATATTTCTAGGTGACAAAAGCCAAGGAAATAATCAGGAATGTATAAAATCTTTTATGAATAGTTTATAGCTGTGAAAATTAGAAACAACCTAAATTTCCAACAATTTATAGGACTGAGTATACAAATTATGTCATATTTATACCAGGAAATACAATGCAAGTATTAAAAATTATATAAAGCAATATGTAAACACATTATAAAACATTTTATAATCAAGTGTTAATTTTAAAAATTTATAAAATATAGTCCCTGTGCAATTTTTTTGTTTGTTTCTTTATAAGGAACATAATTTATTTTTATAAACAGGAAGAAACACAATAATTAAGATGTAGTTCAATGTATGATTTAAGTTTTAAAAGTTATTTTTTCTACTTACCTTTTCTTTTATTTCACTTTTGGAATTAGCCTTGCTTTTCTCACTAGCAGTTTTATTAGATTACTGTGGTTTTGAATACTTAAATCCGCAGAAAGCCACTTTGCCATTTACACGAGGAGCAATTCTGTGATAAAGATGTCTCTTGCATCACCAGCCCTCTTCCTGCCTCTCCCTTGCTTACCCAGAGATCCTGTGAGGGTGGCTCCTCCCTGGATTCCGTGTTCCCGGGGCAGTCCCTGCTGTTTCCTCAGGCTTGTTCATAAAGTGAGATTTGTTCTTTCTCATGTTCTTTCCTCCTCATAAAGTAAACTTAATTAAATGTTACTCATGGAATAAAGTAACTAGTAAAAGGTGGTCATGTTTTAGGAATCCTTTCTATTTCCAGTGCTGAAATGGAGGCGGAGGTCTAAGGGAAGGAAACCAACGTTTTTGCTTTGTTTTGAACACTTGCTACATGCTCTGCAATAAAAGCATTAAGTACGTCTAACCATCTTGTGAGCTTAAAATGACCGCCTGCATAATACAAGTGGAAAGCATAAAGGGATAAATAATCTTTCCAAGTTCATGCAGTTAGGAAAGGACTTCTCTGATTCCAAAGCCCACATTATGTTCATTATACCAGGGAGAAGTTTCTCCAGGCATGGGGTGGTGTTTTATAGAGACTGGTTGGTTGGTCGGTCGGTCGGTCGGTCGGTCGGTCTGCACTGGCTGCTGTGTGTAAAAATTAGGAGAAAAGGCTATGTCAAGATATAGATAGATATAATAATGCCTATTTCCAATAAAACTATCACCCTTAAAAATTCTAGTTGGCATCCAGTATTGGTGAGGTTGTTTGTGTCAGATTATTCCTCCTGCATATAATTGTTACTAAATTGTATTCAATATGAAAGAAAAACAACTCTTGGTAGGCTCTGGAGAGTGACCAACAGCAGGCAGAAATGGAAGGGGAGTCAGTCCTTGAAAGAGGGAACCTGTACTGGATGAGACGTGTGTTTCTGTGGCTTTTTGACCTCCCCCCCTCTCCCCCCCTCTCCCCTCCCCCCATTTATGCAGAAAGGTGCAGTCTTGCCAGCTGGTGGAATCAGAGGCCAGAGTTCAGGACTGTTCGCAAGGCTGAGAAGTAAGGGAGTAATTTCGGGAAAAGGGGTTCCATAAGAAGGAGCCTCAAAATCTCTGTGAACTCAGCCCAAGTGCACTTGACTGACCTGACTATGTTTGTGTGAGGGAGCCTCCAGGGGACCTGGTGGAAAGCACAGATGGAAAGGAAGACCTGTGAAGAGATACACCTCCTCCCCAGCACAGAGGGGACAATTTGGTGTTTGAATTCAGAAAAGTTAACTCCTTACAACAAAAACCAACATTCTTCAGAGGAAGATTATACAATCCACAGTCTCTATGATATATCATCTACACTGTCCAGTAAACAAGAATTACTAGATAACTGAAAAAACAGAATGTGACCTGCCATTAAGAAGAAAGGACTCCAAGGAGACCCAGATGTTGGTCTTAGTAGACAGTCTTATCTAAAACAACTACTATAATTATGTTCAGGAACTTTAAAAAAATAAGGCCAAATGAACAGGTAGGGAATTTCAGGAAAAATACATTCTAAAAAAGAAGTATAGAATCTCTAGAATTGAAACATACAGTATCTGGAAAAAAAATACACTGTTTGGGCTTAGAGGAAGATTAGAGAAAGGAAGGGAAAATGGTTCAGTTAACATAGACAAATCAAGAGAAATAATTTGGTCTGAAGAACAGAGAGAAAGAGGTTGAAAACCAATGAACAGACCCTCAGGAATCAGAGGGACAATATCAAGCAGTCTAACATCAGTATAATTGGAGTCTCAGGAGGAGAGGAGAAAGATAAATGGGGCATAAAATATTTGAAGAAATAATGGTAAAAAAAAAAAAAAAACTTCCCAAATTTGGTTTAAAAAAGACTTACAGATCTGAGAAATTCAGAGACCTCCTCTGCAAAACAGGATAAAGAAAAGCAACATTTATTTAAATCTAGGCACATTAGTTAATATGCTGAAAACCAAAGTTATAATGAGATTATCATGAAAGCAACCACAGAATAGTAACACACATTTTCTTGAGCTAGACTTTCTCAACCTTGGCACTATTGACATTCTGGGCTGGGTACTTCTGTTGTGCAGGGCTGTCTTGTACATTGTTGGATGTTTAGCAGCATTCTTGTCTTCTACCCATTCAATCCCACCTCCCCCAACTGAGAACCACTTGTTAAAACAACTGGTTAATGTGGGTAAATAAAAAAGATAATATATTTTCTCTTTTAAAATTTATTTAAAAACAGCATCATGACAGAATATTGTGGGGTTTGTAATGTTTGTAGATTTAATATATTTGACAACAGTACAAAAGACAAAATGGGGTGAGTGAAATTATGTTTGTGGGGTTATTACATTAGAACAATATTAACTTTAAGTAGGCTGTGATAAATTATGGAATACTTATTGTAATCCAGAAAGCAGTTGTTAAAAATTACAAAGAAATATAGCTAAAATGTCAATCATTTTATTATCATGGAATTTTAAGAACATTTGATTAAGTCAAAAATATCAGGAAAGGAGAGAAAAATAGGATGAATAGAAAACAAATAGCTAAGTGGTAAATCTCAATTGAATGATGATAGTTAAATGAAAATGGACTATATGTCCAATTAAAACAAAGAGATTGTCAGAACAAGGCAAAATTGTACATTTTTACCACTTCTATTCAACCTTTTACCTAAGGTTTTAGTGCAAAAAAGTTTTTAAAAGTATGGAATAGGAAAGTAAAAGTGAAAATGTCTCCTTGCATATGACATGATTCTTTACATTAAATTCTAAGAATCTGAAAAACAATCAGACTAATAAGTAAACTTTGCAAAGTCACAAGATAGAAGGGCAGTATGGAAAAAAGTGATTTGTATTTCTCTGGGACTCTTACAAGGCTATGTACATGTGTAGGATTGCACATGCTTAGGAAAGACCCTAAAATGAAGACAAAATTGTCAGCTCTCTGGCTGGGTTGAAGGCATGGTCCAACACACACACACACACACACACACACAGCCCCTCAACAAAGTCTGGGAGCCTTATTGGCTCCAGGTGTTAAAGGGAATCTCTGTCCAATCATTATCTGGCCACTAAGCTAACAGTACAGTCTTCAGTGACCACACACGACAAAGAAAACAGACTTTATATAATTAGTTTAGAAAAGTCACTAAAACAACAAAGAGCAATAACAACTTTTGAAGAGGGAGTGCAATCTGATTTCCAGAGTTGCCACATTATATTATTTTAAGTGGCCAGTTTCAACAAGAAAACCTGAGACAAGCAAACAAGTAAAAATGTATGGCTCATACACTGGAAAAAGCAATTGAGAGAAACTCTTCCTAAGGAAGCCTAAACATTGTACTTACTA